ATATAGACGTGCAGTGATTGTGAAAAGCTGGAGTTTACTGCTCTCCGTCTCTTCTTGCTTCGCAGTATATATATATATATATATATACATGTATACGTAGCAACCAAAGGAGAGAAAGAGAAGCTTTTGCCGATTCGAAAAACAGATGCGGAAATTCGATGCCTCGCGCCACTCTATACATGCACATATAATATATAATAAACTACGTTTATTCTACAATCATCTCTCGTTGCTCCGTGTGTTTTTTTTAAAACTTGCGCTAACGCGTTAACATGTACGCGTCTGTCAGGAGCTCGGAGGAGCCCAAAATGGAAAACCGAGGCTCTCGCAGGTGCGGGTATTAAATAAACAAACTCACTCTCTTTGTTTCCTCTCCTACATACCTGTATACGCACCCAAACGTATATATACGTGCTAATTGTCACGATAATCGAGTGTGGCCATTATTCGTATAGCGATGCGGGGGATGGGTCAACATCACCGCGACAAGTTTAATTTATAAACGTCCGCCATCTCTTTGTTGGATCGACACGGCCAATGCACGTATCGGTAGAAATCGGCAACCCTATATACATATATATATATATATATGCACCCCCTGCCGTGGAGTATATCGCGTAAGATCGACGATTTGCTAAAGCGAATAGCTATAAGCTCGTCGTACGTTTGTGTATATATACATATCCCTCTCCCCTTTTACTGTACAGACGAGTAGTCGCGCAACAATGCCGAGCTGCGTATGTGTGCATTGTATATACATGCGTATAGTGTAAAGCGCGACTCGAGAGGCGATTCATCATCGATTAAGCGCTCAACGATCGGTCACCGAGTAATTTCACGAAAATTTCCAGAATCCCGGGTTATGGTTGCAGCCCCGCGCACCAGCTCCACCATTATATATAACACGTCGAGGAGGGTGAAAAAGGAGAGGAGAGAATATTGCGCCGACTCTCTCTCTCTTTCTCTCTCGTTGCCCCCCACCTTCCTCCCTTTTTCCAACCCGACTCTTATACGCGCATGTGTATATATGTATATATGTGCGTATATACATATACGCTACGGGGGAGCTGATGGGTGCACTGCAGCCACCAGCATGTCACTGTGCATCGCCGCGTACATATACGTACAGACCAGCACCCTAACACAATGTGCTCGAGTCCTTTTTCTCCGGCTCCTGTAACTTTTTGTGCATGTATGTGTATGTATATGTATGGCCCGGCAAACCGATCGATATGTGCGCTCGACGGAAACGAACCGCCACCACCAGCGTCAGTACAGAGAGAGAGAGAGTAAGCTCGATCAAAGAGAAATCACGGTGCAGGCTGTATATATGTATATACGCGCAGGAGCCGGTCGACAATCAAAATAAATGCTTCTGTGTACAGGGAGGAGATGCGTGCTACTGGGATGAAAAAAAAAAAAAAAAAAAAAGATAAAGTAGGAGGAGACCCTTTTACCACGTAGCTGATGTACGCTCCGTTTGTGGGTGATTCTGGAGTGGGCGAGGGTGCAGCGTCTCTCTCTCTCTCGTCGATTTTTCAATCGACCCCCCCGCTTTTTTGTTTCCGATGCGAGATAACGAGCCGATTTGGGATTGTTTTTGCGTTAACGGCAATACAATTATAATACTTTCGTTGTTTTGGGTTGAAACTATATCATGGACTTTCGTCCCGAGGGTGTACAAACGTAAAATCTGAGGTGCCCCCCTCCTGTACAACATAGAGGCTCGGATCTCTCGTTGGTCCATCGCGATCGAGGACCTCCGTACACTGGATGTCCATTATTCAAAATTTTTTTTTCTTTTTTCCACCTATAAGAATCGATATTTCCCCAATAGGGGCTCTCGCTCCCTTCGATCGTGCAAACGTCCTTTCATTAATCAAAGCACCTAATAGTCTCTGCGCGTCTTATTTTCCGAAAAAAAGGGAAAAAAAAAGTTACCGATCTCCTATATGCCCGCGTATACAAAAACCAACACCTCTGCGCTTTACTGCATTTTGATAAATCGTTGGGCTTCACGGAGAGAGAAAGGGAGGGGGCAGTATTTGGCATTATATCGGTGAGATTTGGGGAAACGAGCCGGCTTATAGGTATACGGCTTGTTTGCAAATAGGCCTGCACATACCTACGTGGCCGCTAAACGCCGTGACGAATTTACCGATCGGCTCTTTTGGATTTTTCGGGGTGCGAGTGGTATTGTCATGTTATGCGAGCAATAGGTATGGGGGGCGAAAGGACCTCTGCACTGCAAGTGGACTATAACTGCGTCGCGCTTTAATTCGACTCCGTTGTGCTTTTGTGGGTTGTTTTGACGGTAAAATCGACGGCGTCTCAATTTCGCGAGGATAATCGAGTCAATGTACGAGATGTTTTCCAGTTAGAGTACGCGTACAGCGGAAAAATATTGGACAAAAAAAAAAAAAAAAAAAAATGTTCTCCTTACGTGAAGCCACCAGTCGAATGAAAGATAATATTATTCGCATCAGCCCACTGCGTTTTTAAAAAGCACACCCTCGTCCCGGCGACTGTAATCACATGTGCAAGCCTTCCTCTCTTCCGAAAACCCCGCCATTGTCTCTCTCTCTCTCTCTGCTTATGTATATTTATATACGCAACCCATGAAATTTTCAGAGCAAACACAGGTTGCGAAATTTCGTCGTCACCTACAACAATACTCGATCACCTCGGCTTGTACATAAGAGCGAGTGGTAAACATATGCAAGAGGCAAGGGTAAATTATTATATACGAGTAGCGCGTGTATAATACGAGCGTAGGAGCGCAGGCAAAATATTTTCTTTTCATCGCGCGGGTCCCCCCAATACTTTTTCTCCTCTCTCCTCGGAGCCCTCTGTTTTGATAGATCACGTACTTATAGTTGGCTTCGACACCCCGGGATCGTACGCGGGGAAAAACTCGATCATCATCGTTTTGACCTGCCACTTTTTGCCCCGTTCTCTCCCTCCTCGGCGTCCCTTGTATATATCCTTCGAGTCAAAATCGCTACGCCGGAAAAAGTAGATATGGCACTTTACTCCGATGGCTTACGTCCGGTGATGATGCATATATATACATCCCTGTCTCGGTGTTTAATTGAATTTTGGACGCGAGTGTGTTTTTTTACCATTAGTTTTCGTGGCGAGCGATTGAAAATTACCGATTGTCACAGCTACATCAGTAGTAACATGAACTTTGCATTGTGGATAGATTTCGAGGTGGTTCGAGTCTTATGGATAAAATCACGCGCGTATAATTATTTGTTGAGAGAGACATAAATGACGTAACTGCAGTAATTCTTAATGGGTACCTTCGTTTCTCGCATTCTCGTTTATTGTTTTTTCGCAAAATAGAGAAGTTATTTTATTTTATTTTTTTTGTTTTTTTCTAAAATCGTGCCGCACGAGGGACATCCGATCAATGTTACACAATTTTAGATTTTTCTTCTCGTTTCGAAAAGGTGTGGGTATTTTGTGTCGATTAAAGGGCTCGCAGTTGTCTCTTCTTTTTTGTTGTTGCATCTGACGAAAAAGACTTTGTCAACACTTTAATTTACCATAAGTATTTTTCAACTGGATAAAAATATTGTACATGAACAATGGGATAAATGACAAGAAATATTTTATGTAAAATATGATTTATTGATAATACATATCAATTATGTACAAATGTATAATAGTAATAGTTTTTTTTCTTTTTTTTTTTTTTTTTTTTTTTTTTTGTTTTTTTCAATCCCTGATTCACGAATTTCGCTGTACAATGTAATAGTATTGTATAAGTTTAAAATTTGTACATAGTATTTAATATTAAGAGCACTGGATCAAGGCGACATTGCCACTGGCCTTAAACTAAACCTTAGCTGATATAAGAGCAATAAGTTCACGGCGGAAAAATATGTGTTTTGAGATCAAATAGTGTCTAAAAAAAAGATAGAGATCGATGCTGGTGACAAATACACACGCACACACACGCACACACATAGAGTTCATGTAGCATCCTCGTCGTTGACTAGAAAACGAAAGAGAGTCGCAGGACCTGGTCCAACGTCCTCGTTGATCTTTGGAGCTCTTTGTGCCTTTTTTTGTTTATTTTTGCTTTTGCCTCGCAATAAAAATAAAGTATTTATCCTTACAAAGTAGTTAACGAGTTAGTTGTGCGGCATTTTGTTTACCCTCAGACGCAAAATATTTAGGACAAATGCGCTTCCAATGATCAGCCTTACCTAAGATTTTACGAGGAAAAAAAATTGCTTATAGAATCATTCTCTTTTTTTCTTTTTCTTTTTCTTTTTTTTTTTTTGGTTCGTAACAATTGCCATGCTCAGCTTCAACGTTTACATCGAATAAAGGGTTAAACTATTGTATACATATTTCTTTTTTTTTTTTTGTTTTTTTTTTTTGTTTGTTTTTTCACCCGCTCGCGTAAAAGTTTCATAAAATATATCGATTACAGTTTATTATGGCGTTAGTTACCGCGACCCGCTCACACGCGCGCGCGTGTATAAAACCGCGAAAGACAATAGAGATCAAACGCTCCCTTCTACAACACGTACCTTTACTTAGTCCCAATTTAATATCAGACTGATTGTCTCGAGCCCGCCCCCACCTTTTTTTTTTGGTCCTTTTGTTAATTTATTTTTTGTCAATAAAATTTCAAAATCTCTCAACTGCATCATCATCAAACGCTCCCGCACATGCTACCATCTATGTACATGATTGTATTACCCCTCGCAGGTATGCATAAATATAATCTTGGAAAAAAAAAAGAGATTTCCATCCGAACAAGAGGCGATCGAACGTTTGGGCGAAAGTAAGAAATTATTGTACAAAAGAAGATGCAGGAGAAATAATAAAAGTACAATAACCCCCCTCGCGCTCCGGGGCACCTCAAAGTTACGTAACGGAGCACACATGTATACAGCACCACCCCTCGTTGCTCTCCGAACAACGTGTGCAACGTACGCTAGTATGGTAAAAAAAAAAAAAAAAAACGCTCAGCAACAACACTAGAGACACTGGTAGACGTCCTGGCGGTCAAACTGGTAGATCCTCTGGTCGTAGCAGGCCTGTACGATGGTCGTGGTCGTCGGGCCGGCCGGCGTGTACGGCACGTGGTTCGCCGTTGGGACTATGTGGTGTTGTTCCAGCACCGCCGCGGACGATTGCTGATGGAACTGGTAGTGGTGTTGTTGTTGTTGTTGTTGTTGTTGTTGTTGTTGTTGGTGATGGTGGTGGTGGTGGTGGTGCTGGTGCATCTCCATGTGCATGTGGGCCATGTGCATGGCCGGCTGTTGTTGCTGGGGCAGGGGTGCCGGTGGAGGGGTGGGGTCGTAGTGGACGGGCACGTGCTGGGGTGGACTGACGGTGCTCTGGTCGCTCGAGTAGCAGTCGTACTCGGGCGTCATCCAAGAGTCCAGGGGTTGCTGTTGGGGCCCCATGGGGGGGCAGTAGGGCACGGTGGGCACACCGAGGGGTCCGGGGGGCCCGAGACGCTTCTGGGCGGCGACGGCGCAACTGCCCGCGGTCGAGGTGATCATGTTGCCGTTCTCGCCGATGCTCACGGTGACGTTGCCCACGCTGAGGGTCACCTCGCCGTTGACGGGGTTGCTCGCGTTGTTGAGGGTCTGCTGGAGGGCCCAGATGTAGTTGTGCGCGAAACGCAGGGTCTCGATCTTGGTGAGCTTCGTGTCCTCGGGGAAGGTGGGCAGGGCCAGCCGGAGCTTTTCCAGGGCCCCGTTGAGGGTGTGCATGCGGTGGCGCTCGCGGTCGTTTGCCTTCATACGCCGGTTCCGCTTTATGCGCATTACCTGCAAATTTTTTGGGGGGTCAACAGTAGCTCCACGGGCACTCGCTTTGGATAAAGAGAAAAACGACTTGCGATCGAACGACAATAATAATAAAACCGTGCAAACCAGTTTGTTTTCTAATTTTTAAATGATGAAAAATTATTATTCAAGCATAGAATCAGATGAAACTTTGAAAACATCTCACTACGCAAAAAAACAAACAATTTAATCACCCAATAAGAAGTGATGCTATTTGGCGTACTTTAATTATCTTAGTGTTTCTTTGTGGTACCAAATTAAAAGTCACTAATAGTGTCGAAAATAATATTTCAACCATATTAAAAGATTATTCGAGCGACATTAGATGGATCGAAATATACATATGTACGTATTATACACTTAGGCACTCATTTGAGTTAAAAAAAAAGTCTTACCATTTACAAATCGAGAAACTTTTTTTGGTACAAAGTGAAATATTTAATCAAGTTTTAACTCTACACTTACAACTGTGAAACAGTGATGTTTCGCTATACTTCAGAGTTTCATTTTCAGATGAAGGGAATTATATATATATGCCGTATACCCGTAAAAGTTTCGCGAGAGAGAAAAAAAACGAAAGACACGACATTATTATTTCCCAATCGATGCATCGGAAGCAGTAATAATTGCGGTCTCGGAAAAAAAAGAGAGAGCGTTTCCTTCCGTCGGGAGCGGAAGTGCACAAAACGCACGAGACGAGAGCAGTTGATGAAAAGAACGCGTGTCCATTCGTAAGACAACCACAATGCCGTATATTGTATTTGTATGTATATAGTATACGTGGACACGAGAGGCTCACCTGCGTGGGACTTTTCGAGCGCGTGGTGCGCGTCTTCTTCTTCTTCTCCGGCTCTTTGCCGACAGCCGCGTTGGTCGCGGGGAAGAGCATAGCCTCCGGCCCATCGGGTTTCGGTGACTCGACGAAACTCACGTCGAAGCCCGAGTCCGAGGAACTCGACATCTCGTCGAAGCCACCTTCGCTGCAGTACTGAAACTCCGAGGTCATGCTGCTCAGCTGGTGGTGGTGCCGCTGATGAGGGTGAACGCTCGGCATGCTCTGCAGCATGATTTTACCGCTTTGCTGGAATTTTACAAGTTTTTTTTTTTTTTTTTTTCCCTCAACTATCGCCTCTTTTTTCCAACAAAGATCAACTCACGATGCGCATTTATTTATTTCTATGGAGGAAATCGTTAATATTGGACATTACCCAAAAGGTACACACGTACACTAGAAACGAACAAACACTTGTTCCAAACAAATAAATAATTGGTACAATCATCCCTTAAATTTATCCATTTGATACGTACAAATACTTATAGTTGTTTCAATGAAATTCACCCAAAATATACACTCGGGCAAGATAGGCTATAAATTTGAGAAATCAATTGTAAAAAAATGTTTTTTCTCAAATGTACCGGTACAAGAAAATAGTTTGTTTTTCGTTTCTCTACATCTTTAATTGCCATAAAGCACAAATGATTCGACAAGAAAATGAATTTCCGTCTTGACTAAGCGATTAGATTGGCCATGGGTGCAACATTACCTTTTACAGTTTGGCTCCAAGTATCCAACGCTGTCAACGGAAACCCCTGCCACTCGCACAATTTGAAGAAAAAAAAAAAACAACCCTCTCCTGATCACTTTTAAATTCCTCCGGGCGAAGCTCGAAAAACCGTGTACGCACAACGCGGTCCAATAGTACAAGTGTATGTATACGCATGAAAAGGCACCGATTTTCCCAAAACTGTACAACGGGTGGACCGTCGCAACGTCAGCTCGGAGGGACCACTAAGGCCCGTATCTGCAAGACCACCACTCGTATATACGTATGTTATTAGGCACAACGCGCTTCGGGTCTCCGTCCGCGCTTGCGACGAAATTTCGACTGCACATGTGGGCCCTTGGAGTCCTCGCCGGCCGATATATAGCCCCCCGGGAGCCGGGGTGTGTTCGCGTGCCTCCTCCGTACCCCCACTCCGGATCCTCTCCCTCCATCGGCAACCCCGTAATCAGCCTCGAAAAAACCCGCCCTCTTTTTCTACCCCACCCCGTGACCCCACCCCTTGGCCACTGCAGCTATCACGCATGCATGTATCGCGCGTCACCCCCTCCCTCTGTCTTTCGTTTCTTTTTGGCCCGCGCACGTATATTATATAAATAGGTATACCTAACCCCCGGATGCTTTTTTCAATGGGTATATACTTACTGCTGAAGGAAGAGCGAATGGGAGGGCGAGAAGGGACGCGTGCCACCACCTCCGTGCGTGTGTGCACGCACACGGGGACATCCGCGTTACACGGCTTGTTACGGGATTAGAGGTTTCGGGATGAGGCTGATTGTGATGCCGCCGCCGAGCTTTTAAAATTTTCGTGCCCCATTGATTGTATATAATATATATATATACGTGTATGCACATGTAGGGCACCAATAGCGCTGCGTGAGCTCGGTTTTCACGGCACACGCGAGCTTGTGCCCTCGTGCGATTATGCTGACTTTTTTTTGTTGTTGTCTTTTGGTCCGGTGCAGGTCAATGCTGCCCTTTTTTGCGGACAGAGAGAGAGAGAGAGAGAAAGACCTTTTGTGCCGATTTTTTTTCCTCCACCATCACGCACATCCTATCCGTGGATTGTAAAAAAGTATCGTTTCAAGTATTGACTTTTTGTTGATTCGTTTGACGGGTGTATAGCAACAGAGTCTCCTCAGCCATTAGACGGCATCGGATCTCAAATTTACATCCGGACAAAATAGATCGTATCGTCACTAATAGAGGCGCGTGCAAGTCGCCAGATAGCGCTAAAAGCAAGTGCGGTGCACATACGATATCCCCCTGAAGCATGTATTGTATATATATATACCGGCCATATGCCGCAGCTGTTGTCCGCTGGATAAACTGATAAAAGTAGTGCGGCCACGTCGATTTCATGGGAGCCGACACGTAGAGTGGCTTTTATTTCTTTTCGTTACTGGAAAATATTCTGCTGTTATGTAGGTATGGCAGCGATGCGTTTTGTTGAGACGATCGGTAACGAGATCGGATGTGCCGTTTTTTAATCTCACTGCAGTAACGTTTGGGTCGCCGACAGTCCATAGTAATAGGTGCATCGTATTCCTCGGAAAAAAACGCATTTTATTAAATTTCGTGTCAATAACTTGATAAACGTAATTGGGTCGCAATCGCATCGATAGATTGTGACGCGAGCGTCGTCCTTATCAGTACAAATATTTGTGCATCGCGCGATTAATTTCTACTGCGGCGCTCACGATATCGAATACGATTTTCTATTCCCCATTCCCACGTTTTTGTAAGTATATACAATGTATATCAAATAAAAAGAAAAAAAAATCCACGTACAATCAAACGAGTGCTCTTGTTTTTTGATTGTCTCTCTCGGTGCATCGTACGGGTTCAGCTAGTTTTTACATTTCCCGAAAAAAAACAAACAAACAAAGGGCTTTCCCACCGATCCACTTTGGTTCGTTGGAAGGCTCTTACGAAAATTAAACGGCATTCGCGCCTCTTTGGCCGATCGATCGGTTCGGATGTTAACGCGTGCAAAGAACAACAACGGCGGAGGAAAGGGTGACAAAAGCACTCGATTGTACGTGTACATACCACCCATCAAAGCGCGTTCCGTGACTAATCGGGCCGATTCGGCTTGCTCTGCGGCATTTTATTTATAGGCGCGATCGGTTCTCTCCTCCTTTTTTTTTATTTCCAATCAATCGATTGCCTCGGGATTTGGCGCCGAGACGAGGACCCGCCTTTTCGTACATGTATATACACTGTTGGCACTGCTGATAACCATTACGCATATATTATCATCATCTCGGGGTGCAAATAAATGTTGCTTTTGCTCTCGTCGAGCGGACTTAATGCACGGGGACCTCATTTGCATTGGAATACATTTTTCTTTTTTTCAAGTACCCATCCTATGAATACACTTAGCGGTCGATACAGGGAACAACTTGAAGCGTGCTTTTTATACTTACCTGCGTGGAAACATCTTTTTTTTTTTTTTTTCATCTCGATAAAAAAAAAAACTTGTGAAAAACGTGCGTGTGCGATGATAAATAGACACCCAATAAATAACGTTTGTACGAGAAAAGCGGAAAAAAGGTCACGCACAAAACCGAGTCGAGACACCGTATCGCAATTTTTCACTTATTCCCCTCCCTTCGTTGAATCGCGTGAAAAAAAAAAATCCAATCGAGGCAGTGCACTTGCGTGTGCGTCACCCCTTCGTGGCAACCAAACAAGAGTAGAAAAAAAAAACATACACACGTACTGGTAAGGCAACCCTTTTCGATACATTTGGAAATTTCACGTGTCTAATCCGCGGACAATGGCTCGGCCGTGAAATCGCAGCCGAGATCGGCTCTCCGGGAGGGGCTCCCGGGCCAAAAATCATCACGAAAATTACACGAAAGATTTGCTCCCGAGGCGTGCATAATCGAACATCAAATAATAAATAATCATGATAAAAAAAGGGGTCGCGCTTTCGTACGAGCGGAGGAGAAAAGGAGAAAAAAAAGGGTCGATTTCACGTTTTTCTTCGCTTCCTCTCTCTTTCTCTATGCTACATTGGCCCCGTACCCAGGATTGCGCAGCTCAAACTAATATTTCATCGATGTATCGGTTCATCTTGCTCGACTGAAAATCGAAATTACATCCTTGTCCACGATGATCCAACGAATTGATTGGAACGAGTTGTTGTTTCACCAGTATATGTATATATGGTAAATTCGTGCAAAAAAAACAAAAAAAAGGATGCTAGCGTAATTAAGTACGCTAAGTACAAGAAAATCAATCTGAAAAGATTCTTTTTTTTTTTCCGTCAATATTGCTAATACAGGAATTGCACATTGCTCTACAACCATACGATAGAGAGGATCGAACCCAAGATAATTATAAAAACTACCTTGTAGGATAATGGTCTCGGTCTTCTACCAGTTGAGCTATTATACAAGCCAACCGATCAAGTAGTCGAGTAAGCCAATGTCTCAGAAATAAAATTCAGGACACCAAGTGAGTATTACAATGAAATATTTGAAGAAAAAGGCGAGCATCAGCTGTTTCGTGTAAACTTGGTACAGGTGTATATTAAATTACGTGGGCACACATGTATATCAGCGGCGTTTGATCTGCATAAAAGAGCGCATCAACCGACACGGGACTTTGGTGAGAAGTGGGTTAACAAAGCCTTGGCTATACGTATACAAACAACAATGCACTCCGTACATACCTCGGGGAGTTAATTCCCATGTAGCGGCACATCCAAATAGACTCATATATATGTATACCAAACAAGTACGTACATCACGATCACGCACCTTTTATCATAATATATGTATATATATATATACTTGTATACAGTATGTACGATGGTTTGCACAAATTCGCGCGCGTGCAGTTCTACGTGTCACTTGTGTATAGGTATATCCTCTCCCATTGTTAAACGACAACGCTTGATCTATTACATTACCTCCCCTCCATCTCTTTTTCCATTCTGTTCGATCCCGCTCTTTGGCACGATTTTGCACCGACTATTTTATTGTACATACATTTACGTATACCCATATACTACATATATAATCTTAGGGTTTTAATTTTGTTGATCTCCTTTCCGATTGTATTATCATTAAAACACGCGTGCGATTGGGCAGCTCAATTTTTTCGGGGCTTCGCAACCACTATTGAGACGTCATGGAGTAATATAAACGGTAGTTTTTTTTTTTTACGATGCACAGGTGAGTATTTGGTACTTTATTAAGACGAGACGGGTACATGGGTATCGACCCGATGTGAAAGGAGTGAAGATACGTATATGGAGAGGGAGAGAGAAAGGGACGGGACGAAAATTGCCGATTTTAGGTGCAGATCGGCACCGTGTGTTTTAAGCTTCTCTTGTTCGTATATCATATAAACCTCGAGTTTTCGGATGATGCACCATTATAGTATAAATCGTTTAATTCGATCGCGAAACGAATCGGAAAAATGTAGTTTCTGC